TAGTGCAGGTTGAGCATACTTGAACAACTAATGGTCTGGGTTGCTCTCCTCATTCAGAAAGCTGTCAAACAGCCTGAAATTAGGACTGCCTTGGTCAAAACAGGGTGTCTGGCAAAGATACAAAAAATCAAGAAGACATTCAGGAATTTGGATTCAAACTGTGGAATAAAAAAAAAAAATTCCTTCCCACAAAATGCCATCAATATAATCAAATTAATTCAGAAACAACTTCAGTTAAAATTATATCCTCATTTTTTTAATAGGTGAAGTTTTAGTCTCACATAAGTGCATGCTGTGTTGTCTGACTACTGGATACCGTAGTGTAGGTAATATCACTTAGCTACAACACAAACAGCAGCAACAAGAAGGAATGTGCTGTTCAGTGGTTTTTTTGCAGCCAAACACTGAAGAAAGTCTGTGTGTATTTGGAGGAAAAAGTGACTTCTCCAGGACACAACACATGACACATATGCTACCTGAGAAGATAGGGGAGAAATTTTTTTTAAAAAAAATAAAAGTAGACCCTATTCTGAGAGTTCACTGACTAGAGAATTCTGGTTGCAAACAATGGAAATTCAGCAAATAAGTTCAGTGTAGACGTTACATGTGCTTTACAGTTACTACTTAGTTTCACATGAAGACATCAAAGGCTGCTTAAAATCTGAGAAATGTAATATATAATTTAAAAACTAACTTAATGAAGAGTCAAAATCCTTAAAAGACCTAAACCATAAATCTGGTGAGAATTACGTCAATCAGGACACAGTAATCTCTAGAGATAATTAATTGGAGGTTTTCAATCACAATTTAAAAAACAAAAACAAAACCACCACCACAACAACAAACCTAACAAATTTATCTTTGAATTTCATAGATTTGTAGGAGTTCTTATGCAGGAATTACCAGATCTTGTCATGGTTACATTATAGGTGAATTTTAAGTCAATATGAGTTTGAGAGTAAAAGAGAACTAAAATTAATTTGAAAAGAGGTTACCACAGTTTATTTGCATCTGTTTTTCCTCTCTAAAGTAACAGAATGAAACTATTCTCTAATGCACCTTCACGTGGAAACAATTTAAGGTGAATCAGCAATACTAGGAACATGCAGAATATCCTGGCCACATCATGCTAAATAAACTGAATTTTTATAATGTATATGTGAAAAATCATATGCAAATATATAACCTAAACTTTCTCTTTCCAGTTTGGTGTTGGAATTCATTAATCACAGCAACTATGGTCATCCCAGATAATAGATGGTCATCCCAGATAAAAGAAACAAAAATATGATAGGGTCCTGCAACATATCAATTGGGCTATAGAAAGCATAGACAATATTAAGAATGTTTGGAGGTAGTTATATATTTTTATTTTAAATAACAGAGTTTATTCTTTTTCCATTTCAGAAATTATGAGAAATTAATTGCATGAGAAAATGTAGATAGCTTTATGCATCCTTACTACATACAAAAAATCAAAAGTAACTTTTCTTTAGCTAAACTTGTTATCTCTATCTAAACACCTGCAAGGAATGAAAGTAAATTTTGTGGCAAATAGCAAAGGAAAAAACCTGCTTTGTGATGTATGTTCTCATTGCTAGTCTTGCAGTTGTAAGGTTTGAGCTTTAATAGTGAGGCTCACTCTTATTTAAGCATTCATGTTCCATTCCAGTTTCAATCTGATATTCATAATCTGAATCAGAAAGTTCAATATCAATAATTACTCTCTATCTCTGTTGTACAAAATTATGTATATACTTGTATCCCTTACTTTCACATTCTTCACCATTAGGATTTGATGAAGACTTCCCTCCCTCACTCTTTCTCTCTCACTCTTCTTGCTATATTCTGCTTCTTCTGTATTCTCAGGATCTTTTTTGACAACATGACAAGTCTTCTTACAAATACACATTTATAAATAGAAAACATTGGTCATTACTGGGATACTGGGATACTTATTTCATATTTTGTTAGTCTAAAGCTGATTATGTCTTTAATTTCATTTTCCTCAATTTTACATGTAATTTTTTCCAGAAGAGTAACAACTTAGTGTGATCTTCCTTTTAAAATACCAAAAGATCTGGAACGTTTCCCGCATTTTTGCGATTGTTGCTCTGAGCTTTTTTTCTTGATCAGTGATATTGAGTGTCTCCCTTTTCTTAGGTAGATCTTTTTATGCATATAGATATTTTGTTATTTTTTACCTTTCTTGAACCTCGGGGCTATTCAAGTCTTCAGTCTGGAAGAATTCCTAGGGCTCTGTTTCATAATTCTGCTACCACTCATTTCTTTTTTGAAAAAAAAAAAAACAAAACAAAAAACACTTCATTGTTATCTTCCTCTCTGTATTAAATAATTTAAAAATACTAGCTCACATCTCAAACACTTCTGCATACATTCACAAGCTTTTCTTATCACTTTTCTATAGCATTTCATACTAAAAAAATATTTTTTGTACTATCTTTTTAGACTTTTCTGTAATGTTTGTCCCCTTATTTTTTCCTTCAAAACCAGCTGGTTTTTGATTTGAAGCATGAAGGCTTTCTTCTCCATAGCACGGGAGCAGCAGAAGTACACAGTATTTGTATTGCTATGCTATCTGCATAATTTTGGCTGAAATAAGTGTGGATCACTGATAGATCCCAGAAAACGTGGAGTGTTGTACCACTCAAAGTAACGTGTTTTGTGATGCATTTTGTATGATTTTCCTCTTATTTTTACCTTTGACACATCTTTGTGAGTGACTTTTCTTATCACTTTAAATTTAAGGAGTGTCTTACTTTCAAAATTCAGCAAACCCATAGAAGGGCTTTTGCTTTTCCTTTTTTCTCCAAAAAATAACAGTTGATTGATGACTTTGAACACCCCCTTTTAACAATGATAAGAAGTAAAATCTCACTAAAGATTTAAGTCACCTTGATCTTGCAGCAACAACTACTGTGGCCAAGTCAGCAACAGTTTCCAAAGATTGCTCTGTATAATTTTTAAATGTTAGTGAGTTTTTATCCATGCAAATACATGGTGATAGCACTGTTCCTTCACCAAAATACAGACTGCTGAGCTGCAGTTTCATTCTGCAAGCAGGATGTTCCAACTGCCATCATATACTTTCAAAAGCCCCAGTTAATATAATATGCTAAAGCTTTTTTTTCATTAGTTAGAGAAGCTAGTTTGTTATAGTTTGTATTACGTACTTGTAACTTAATATGAGAAGGTTCACAAAACTTAATTCCCAAACACTCATTTTTCACAGCAGCGTCAGTCAGTCATTTTAGGGTGGCAAACGTATAGACAAATTAAAGGTTTTCATGTCATGATTTATAAAAGCCAAGAGTGCATACTGTCATTTAAATTAAACTGTGTGCTATGTATAATTGTGTCATATAAATGCATTATAAATTATTCTTGGAATAAATGCTCTCATCTTCTAACAGAACATGCATAACCATTGTTGATATGAGGCGCTACAGTCTTCTGTGCACATCCTGTAGGAGATGTTAATGTGCAGTATCTTTCATAAACAGGCCTCTTTTTGTCTCTGTTAGAAGAAGGAGCTCACTCAAAGAATCTGATAGTCTTCCAAAGAAAACATCTGTTTTAAATATATTTGTTTGGATTCCAGTCAGTGCACCTAGGACTTGCATAATTAGCTTAGACTACAGAGTTCCCTTTTCAGAAGATATGTTTATTTATATAAGTCATGCATTTTTTCATTAAGCAAATACTCCTTTTTTTTTTTTTTTTCCCCTAATTAGAAATTCAGGCTTGTATTTTAACACACATTTTTTGCAATGCAAAGATTGAGAAACTTTCTCAACAATTTTTCAACAATTTTTTTGTGAGATTCATTTTACTGTATTTTGTATGGTGGAAAAGTGATTAGCAACCATCTTATGAGTATTTTTGTAAATGTGTGCATAAATTTATAAAGATGCTTTTGATATCAATTACTGATCATTCATGAAATATTATTTTTGTAACTTTTACTACTTTTGATAGTGCATATTCTTTTAAATGTACATAGTTGAGCTTTTAAAATTGAATTATGGTAGTAACTGTGTTAAGTTTGCCATTCCTAAATATCCAATTAACTAAAAATATTTAAAATACATTGTTTGCTTCATCTTAAGCAGCTCTTTAGAAGAGACAAGAAGAAACAGAAGCTCAGCGATCCTTTTTGCACTCATTTCATGCCACTCCACATGATTCCATTGAACCAGAATCTCTTACCATACAGCTGTGCAACATTAAAAGAATAATTTTCTAAAACTGGTTTAATGATTATGCATACCTTTGGTATTAAGATCAAACCTCTTGAATGTTCAGGCATTCACAGTTGGGAAGGACATGTTAAACTTTGGGACAAATTCAGCCTGGAGTGACAATTTCATAATATATATTGCAGGTGTGCCTCATTACAGAAGGGCTGAAGCTGCTGTCCATGCATGAAACAAGCTCCTAGGTTGTTTTTTATTTCAATTCATACAATCCAGATGAAACCTTTCTTAATCTGACTCAGTATTCTTTATATCACATCTGATTTCAGCTCAGTCCTAGACTTGTGGAAATAAGAGTTACACCTGTACTGAATGTTTTAATCTGGGGCAATGTCAATCAGTTCTGAAGGATCTCAAAGCTCCACTTAGCTCTCACTGTACAGAATGATGTCTTCTGTGAGAAGTGCAGCCGTATGTTTTGCTGGACTTTTTGCTTTGTCTTGCCATTTTCAGAAGTCCTAAAGCATAGACCTGGTTAAGAATGCTATCAGTGATTCAGTATGCTCTTTCTACTCATGCATGTGACTGACTGAGAGAAGCTGGCTAAATGTCCCTGTCTAGATGTGGGGAGTGTTTCAAAAAACTATTTTTTGAAATTATTTTTCAAAAACAGTTGTATGCAATAGTGCTAAGTACTAAGGAGACAATAGTGTTGGCTGTTGACTTCCTTTGATATAACTTAAGTGATAATAACACAGGTTCTGTTTGTTTGATGTTCTGTAGGTGTTTACTCTGTTATGGATTGCTGACTGGATGGTGCACCACTTCTGGAAAAAAGGAAAAGATCCTGACAGTTTTTCTATCCCCTACCTTACTGCACTGGGAGATCTGCTTGGAACTGCCTTATTAGCTGTAGGTTTTCATTTTCTGTGGCTCATCGGTGACAGAGATGGTGATGTTGGAGATTAGTCATTTCAATGGAAGCAATGACTTTTCCTGGAATATTGACAAGACCAACCATTCCACTTGAAGGTTCTCAAAGTGATTGTTCCATTTGGTGTGAGTAAATCAAGTTGACAAGTATAAAACAGCCTCAATGTTTTTAGTTTGGTTTGTTTTATAAAAGCTAGGATGCAACTGGGAGGATACTTGAGACCTTTACTCTGAAACCAAGGTGGATTGCTGCTAGTTAAAAACATCTGAGTAGACACAACGAAGGGCAGACCAACCCTTTATCAAGTTTTAAACTTTTAAAAGATGTGGTCTTTCAAAACAAGAGTTCCTTAGCTATATTGCAAAGCAGAACAGTCTCTGCTCATTCAGTGGTGATGACGAGGAGGGTAAGACCCAATCAGTGTCTTGCCTTGTCTTTCCCTCCCAGGAACAAAGTGGGTATATGTTTTCATTTTACCACAGAAGTGGTAAGTGGACCTCAGATTTATTTGGTTTCATAGATGTTAACCTGCATAGTTGATGATATGTTCTTATCTTACAATTTCAATGCTGTATCTCTCTGACCATTACGGAATTGATATTGCTAACAACTATTATGGTGACTTGAGCCCTGATTGTCTAAACATATTGTCACTTTATTTTATGTATAATAACATGACCATCAGCATTTATAAAATTTTACACAAGAAAAGCACTTAGTGCTCAAAAAAACCCCAATCTACTTATTTTGCTGTTGTGGTTTATTAGAGCAAGAGCATAGTAAAGGCAAATCATGGGACACTGACCTGATCAGTAGTAATGGATGAATGATTAAATCTCCTTGTGTTGGAAAGTGTATTTTCATTTAGCAACTGAAAAGATGTTGAACTAACTGGTATTAATGGTGTCATGATGGCCAGTATCCTGATTTTAATCAAGTATTTAGAGGTGTTAATTCAAATGTAAATACTGATCCCTGATTAAAACCTGAGGTATAAAAGATTATGCTTCTTTTTTAGGCACTTTGGAAGTTACATAAAATTCTAAAATTCCAGAGCTATGTCATCCATTTCTAAGCAAAAATCTCTGCTAACAGGATTTTAGCTTTCGAACTGTGGAAGTAATGTGATCAATAAAGAAAATTACTGTTTCTATATTTTTTCTCTTGTTTGTACACCTCAATATTTTGAGTAATACAATGATCACGAGGACTTTAGTTGCCAACTTGAAAAAAATGTACTAACTGCCCTGTTTTAAAATCTAATGGGAGTTCCTCATGGCGTATGTTTTTAAGACTATAGCATACATCCTAAGTGCATAATTATATAAACAATTCATATTTTAAGTTGTGATTGAAAGTTTAAATTCTGAGATTTAAATTAGACAACTAAATCCATATATCACCGTATGTTGTAATCCTGTAAACATTAATCATGCAATTTCTGCATATTAATCCTACCTTTTAATTTGATGGACCTACTCATATGTATTAAATTATGTGCATAAGTGTTAATGGGACTTCTATAGGTGTTGATCACCTTAAACTCCAGAAGTTGAAAGTGTTTGCTCTTCAAATTTTAACTTTAATTCTGAAAATTAAACCAGCTATTCAGTGCCTACACATGGATTTAGATGCCTGATTTTTAGCTCTCTCATTTAATCACCTTTATTTAAGCTTTTTCTTATGGCTATGATAATACAGTTGTTCAAATGAATCATATGTATTTTGTCTTTTATTATGTGAGAGAAAGATGAAATCTTTCTAACTTCATGTTCACTGACTTTTCTTAGTTTGTGTTAATGTTATTTAAAATAGTTTCTTGTATGTAGCATTGCAGGAAATACTCTTATTAAACTGTTTAAAGTGGTGTAGATGTAACTTTTTTTTTTTCTTTTCAATAATGGCTATTTATTTTTGGTACAGATGTAGATGATAATTCTTTTTATTCTGCTAGAACTGCCATCTGAATCAGCTAAGCTGCCATTTCAAGCACTTTTCTCATTAAAGTTACTGTATTTTAAGGTCCTTTTTAAATGAATTTCAAGGTTCTTAAAAATTAAAATTTCTTGAGATACTTGTGACCAGTGCTGATCTGATGCATGAGGGCACTGTAATATTTTGTCATGACAGTATCCTTAGTATGTTAACTGTTTTCTTAGTAAAGAACAAACAGCTGTCAGTACAGTCTGAGGACAAATGGGTAAGTGTTTAGATCGTGGAAGTGAGCAAGAAATATTAAATGGGACAAATTCAGTGAGATTTGAAAAAGGGGAATACATTGGCAGACTGGAATAATCTGTTTATGGAAAAAATAAGTGATGGAAAAGTGTAATGGGAAGATTTGGTACTTCAGGAGGGGGAAGTTCATTGCATGGTTGAAAGAGCAAAATCCATAGCATGGGGAAAAAGAGAAGGAAACTTTTACACAGCATTCATTATGAGAGGCAGTAGCAAACGAAGGACGTTAGTTGAAGAAAAGAATGAAAAGGAACAGCCAAACTTATTTTTCAGGAAGGGAAGAATAATATAACTTGTGCTGAAAGGAGCTGGAGAAGAGGTGGAAAAAGAGATACTTTGGGGAAGGGGGGGAGCATGTTCTCAGTAAGATATAGCTAAAGAGGAGTTTGAGTGGAGAATGAAGGATGACATTGATAAAGCAGAGAAAACCTTGCCATCTGAAAGAGCAAAGAATAAACAATGTATGATGTGGAAAGGGGCTTCCCTATATGGAAGAGGCATTTGAAAAGTTACAGGGTTTGCTAACTCTGCTACCCAGAGTTATGAAGGCAAAAACCACCCAGTTTTGGGGGGAATATTTTTCCAGCTATAAGGATAATATAGGAAAAGGCATGAAAGGCTACTTGGATACCACAGAATCTGTCATTTACTCAAAAGCTGTTCCCCCTAAACCAGTTTTGACTCAAGTCAATCTCTCAACAGTATTCCCTCAACGTTTGTGGTTTTGTTTTTGTTTTTTTTTTTTTTTTTAAAAACACATTGGGGTAATAGTCAATTACTTCACTCTGTGTGTGGGTAAGAAATGTCTCTAACAGAATTTTTGGTAACAAATTATGTGCTTGTACTACTCAAAGCATACAACAGAAAGAGACATTCTGGTAGGTTGTTCTATCTCATGTTACCAAAGCAGCCATATTTTATAATCTTGCAAATAAAATGGTCACTCTTCATATTAAAATTAATTGGTTTTCTCTTCTTCACCTGCTAGAAGATTCTTTCAAAACTTCATTTTTTTTTAATTTCTAGTCTGGTTAGGGCTATAGCTTGTTCACATCTATTTGCTCTTGTGTCAGCATGTAGCGTTTTCTTTATTTGACTCTTGCTCCTATCAGCTCATTTTAAGCTGGAGGTCATCTTCAAAAGCTTCTCCTGCAACTTCTTGTATAATTTTCTTTCTGCTTGATGAGCTACACCAGCCAGAAGCTGCAGTTGCTTTGCCTTTGTGAGGAGTTATCTGCAGCCTGATGCTGACTAACAGTTGGAGTGCTCTTGTTTGGTCATTCTTTCTGTTTACCCTTTTTTTAACTCTACTTCAGAAATATCTCTAGGGTAAATATAAGCAAGGGCAGGTTATTTGAAATGGGCATTGTTTCCATTTGAAAGATTTTGTGGCCATCTCACTTGTTCTACGAGAATGCATGAAAGGGGACAGCCTCATTTGTTAAAGTACAGCTAAATGCAGCTTTAAAATTTGTCATCAGAAGCATCTCGTACCATGGGTGTTATATTCTCTTTGTCTGTGTAATGCTTTGAAATAATCTTTGCATTCTACTGAGTTAATGAATAACTGCAGCTTGTTTTCAGTGATTATATAGACAGGATAGTTCCACAGCTTTATTATGCTGTTTAGTATAGGTAAGGTTTCTTTTTCTAATGTTTTTAGATCAATATTTTGAGTTTTATAGCATCACTGTACATCTTGCCTTATTCTGTGATGTTTAAATTTGCAATATCCTCTTCCACTCCCATGTTTAACATATTAATTTCACTGGGGCTTTTAGGATGCTGATGAGAAACTGGTGAGCAACAAATTAATTTAACTTCTTTTTACAATTTGCCAACTAAATTAGACTTTCCTCATACAAAGGTTAAAACAGCATGAGGATTAAGGCTTTATGAATGCAGAGCAGTTTGCAGAATCCAGACTCAAAATAAGACCTATCATATTTTTAATGGATTTGCTATTTCACTTCAGTTCTGAGCATCATAAGAAGCTCTCTTAAATCCAAGAATAACACAGAAAACACATCAGGAAATGGTAGTATAAGTGCTGTGTGAAATGAAGTGTTTGAAATTGCTCATTATTATTATAATGGTAAAATTGCTATTGCAAAGGAGATAGTATCTTCAGTTGTGCAGAAAATGGCAACAGAATGTGGTAACTGAATTATAACCTGAGTTAAAAAGAGCAAGATGATGTTAGAAAACAGTGTCGAAGGTACTGGAAGCAACATCAAGTCTCTTAGTAGGACTTTTCCTTTATTTCTGGTTAGGTTTTCTGTGATATAGTGCGGTGTTTAAATTGTGTTCTTTAATCCATTCCTAATCAAGTCAGTCTCTTGTTCAATTGTCTTTTGCAGCATCATTTTCCCATACATACTCGAAGTCAAAAAATCAGCTTTCTATAGATGAAGGTGGGGAGGAAGGGCTAGTAAAGAGGTATTTTGTCATTGGAGCCTCATTCTGATAGTCATAAAGGAAAGTCTTTGTGTTAGATTCAATGAAAATTTGATCATCATGCATGCTGTACATTAATACTCTAGGGAATCTAATATTAACAAAACATTAAGATTTAATTTAATAATTATTATAATTTAATAATTATTATATTAATTTTAAAACCCAACATTTTTAGCAAACACGCAAGACTGCCATATTCTGGGTGGGTACCCAAAAGCAGCAGTGTACCCCTTGGTCATTCAGCAGTGGCATGGCTGGATGGGCTTTCCTTCCTCTGCAGCTAAAACTTTAATTTCATGTCTTGCTAGTTGTTTATTTAATATGCAGGATAGTTCAT